GTCAGCCTTTTATCCTCCACCCATGCTCTCAACAGGAGCCCCCTGAGGTGTAGGGGCTCCCTCAGAATAAAACCTTGGAGTAACCCCTGCTAAGAGTCAGCCTTTTATCCTCCACCCACGTCTCTGGTGTCTCTCCAAAGCTGACCAGCCTGGCTGCCCTCAGTACCCTTGGGGCACAGAGAGTGTCCCGTGCTGTCTGCCAACCCAAAGCTCCTGAGAGGCTCCCAAAAACACCACAAAGCTCTGAATCCCACCTCCCTTTTTCCTCCCCCAGACAGAGCCAGTGGATCGACCGTGGACTGGACCTACAACCAGGGCATCAAATATTCCTTCACCTTCGAGCTGCGGGACACGGGGCGTTACGGGTTCCTGCTGCCCGCCACGCAGATCGTGCCCACCGCCCAGGAGACCTGGCTGGCGCTGAAGGTCATCATGGAGCACGCCAGGGACAACATGTACTGAGCTGGGAGCAGCAGCTGCACAGAGGGGAGAAGGCAACCAGTTAATAAATGCAAAGAAGGATGAGAAAAGCTTGTGGTTGTTTTCTCTTTTTCACAAACTGGGTGGAAAAGGCCTTTTGGAGTTGGGGTTGGTGCCAGCACAAACAGGGTGTGCTGGGTCATGGCCTGGAAAAGGAATTGATTGAAAGGGTATGAAAATAGCAGGAACAAAAAGGAAGGAAGGTGGTGGTTTTCCCTTTGATCTGGCAGAGGATGGGAAGGGAATTGGGCTCTGGGACACGAGGCCAGCAGGATTTATTGGGGCCCAAGGAGAGCTGCAGAGGGACTGGGGACAAGGGATGGAGGGACAGCACCCAGGGAATGGCTCCCACTGCCACAGGGACTCTTGGGAATTGAGAATTCCTGGCTGGGCTGGAATTGCCAGAGCAGCTGGGGCTGTTCCTGGATCCCTGCAATGTCCAAGGCCAGGCTGGGCAGGGCTTGGAACACCCTGGGACAGTGGGAATTGTCACCAATTGTCACCCAGGTCCAGGAGTTGGAACTGGAGGGGCTTTAGGGTCCCTTCCCAGCCAAACCTTTGTGACCCCTCCTCACCTGCTGCAATCCCTAGGGAAGGGCGAGCCGAGCCCCTGCTCACTCCCAGCCTTCCTCTCAAAGCTGCAAATAAATCACCCAAACAGATGCTGTAATTTACATTTTTATTCAATTAAACCTCTCAGCCTCTAGGGAGTTTGACTCTGCTCCAAACAACACCAGGAGTCCAAATCCACACAAATCCACGGAGATGGTGGGAAAGTACATGCAGTCCTTGCTTTGATTCCTGGGATTTGGAGGATCACAAACAACTCAAGCCAGTTTGATCCAAGTTTCACCAGGAGGTTTTCATGCAGCACAGAGCAGCCAGGGATTCTGGATCTGTCTCCCACAGCTGGACAGCAAAATCAGGATTTCAGCCAATGCAATGACACTGCCAAGAGCTCATGGAGCTGGAAAAATCTACTCCCACAGCAGCAGGACCTTATCAGACTGAACCTGCCAGCCCTGCAGCCAGCACTGTCTCATCTCACACTCACAGTCACAATAAAAGATAAACGTGCTCAGGGATGTTCAGTCCTAATCTCCCAAACAGGAAATTATGTGCCATTTCTCCTACTTTTTGTCCTTTCACCAGAATTATCCCAAAGTCACCAGTGAGTTTTGGGGATGTGTTGAAAATTGTCTGCTTCAAAAAGGGGGAAAAACCCTGACTCAAAAAATACACACAAACCCCACAAGATCACAGTAACCAAAGCAGGACCAGGCTCAGCAATGCCAGATGGAAAACTGGAGAGCAGAATCCATCCAAAATCACTTCCAAAGGGTCCCACAGGCAGCTCAGGAAAATCAGAGGATTCCCAGGTTATCCAGAAGCACCAATTTGAGGAAAAAATTTGTGATATTCACTTTTCCAACTGTTCAGTTCCTGATTCCAGGGCCCTGCTGGGTTTTAGGCACCCTGGTGAGGCAGCAGCAGCAAATTTTCCTTCAGCCACCCTAAACCTTAAAGAAACTCCTAAAAAATCACTGGCAAAGGAGTCATTGGGAAAAGAAAATCCAGTTACTCTCCTTCAGGTCACCTTGAAAAAGACACAACTATTCACAAAGTGTCCACGAGCAAGCACGGCTGTCACAGCACCAACTGAGCAATAAAAACCATCTTTTTTACAAATACTTCTCTTCATTACCATAATTTATTTAAAAAAAACCCAAGAAGCAACCCTTCCAGGATCTTCTCTCACTTTTGGCAAGTTGCTGAGTGTCTTTATCTCTGCTAAAACCACCAAAGTTTGTGCTCACAGATGATTTGTGGCCTGTTCACCCTCACAGCTCCAGGCCTGGGAATGTTACGGACACAAATTCCTCCAGCTGGACTAAAAACTTTGTGGGACAGTTTCTACTGGTGCCAGCCTTTACTAGCAGTTTCCTCCCTCCCCTACCAAACCAGTTCTATCAGCTCTGTCCTGCCCTGCACCCCGAGTGATGCCATTGCAGCTGCCCAGCCTTACCCGAGCTGCCAGGTCTCACCAGGGCTGCTTTTCCCTGCCGATGCCTAAAACCACCAAGGGGCTGCACTGCACTGCTCTGCATTCCCCAGGCTGGGCTCTGCTTTATTTCCAGGGCCTGTTCTGGACGCTGGTCCTGCTGTGGGAGCGGCTGCTGAGGGAGGCCAGGCTGCGGGGAGAGCTGTGCAGGCTGGGCCGAGAGCCCCCGGCTGAGGCGGCCTGTGGGAGAAACGGGCCCAGGTCACAAAATGAATGTGCACGAGTTGGGGTGCCCCATCCCTGAGGGTGTCCAGCCAGCCTGGGTGGGCTTGGAGCAACCTGGGATGGAGGAAGGTGTCCCTGCCCACACTGGGATGGATAGGGTTTAAGTTTCCCTTCCCACAGTGGGATGGATGGGGTTTAAGGCCCCTTCCCACAGTGGGATGGATGGGGTTTAA